TAATATGAATGAATAGTTTGAAGGTTTAATCATCTTTTGTGGAAATTTAACTAATTTTCATATGCTTATTCAATCATCTAGCAGGAACCACGCATGCCATTTTGAATCATAGCTATAATCTGTGTGATTTTACTTTACTTCTTAAACAAACTTAGAAATCGCATAGGCTAAGAAGTTCTTTGCATATTCCTATCAATGAATGAAGAATTTATAATAATGCCCATATTTTGTAATCCTTTTAACTATATGATTTCCTTTTTCTATTTCTTATAGCTGGACACCCTCTTTACTCTGCAAGGGTGAATCAGGCTGGACAAAGCTGCTCCCCCGGGGCCCAGTACTTTGCTGGGAATTGCTACTATCCGCCTAAAGCCCTGACAACAGCGACGTGGGAGGAAGCCGAGACTAAATGCAATCAGCTCTCTGATGAAAATGACAAACAAACACGGGGTCATCTGGCCAGCCTGCACTCTATCGAGGAAGCCCAGTTTTTATCTGAGCTGATTTCTAACGTCAGCCAGATAATATGGCTAGGTCTAAAGTTGAATTGTGAGTGATTAATATAGATAAATGTAACCCACCCCATTTGTCATGGAGAAGTTAATTTTGAGGAAAGATGGAGAGAAGATATTTTTCGAAAGCTAGCAGCCAACTAAAGTTGTTTGAATTTATTAAGTAGCTCATCTCTTGCGCCAAAATAGTAAAGTATTAGTATATTATGAAATAAATATAGTCATAAGAATAAAGGTCAAGTAGTCGAAGGATGTCCAGTTAATCAAAAGCGTTTTGCCATGCCGTTTGACACAATCAAACTGTAATGAGTCAAATTTACATGAGACATACCCCTTTTTAATTAGGTTTCGATATAAGGCTATACTGATAAATTGATAAGAATTGATTCATGGTTAGAAAAATCTCTTAAATGGTTTATAATTTGTAGGAGAATTCAGCAAATTTTGCATACATAAACCTCAATATGATAGATAAATAAAAGCAAAATTTACACTCATTTTTATTTTATTTTTTTATACAAAATGTACATATCTGATTTAGATCTTAATCTTCAACATTTTGCCAGTGTG